TACTACGTACATTAAAAAGAAACAACTCTCGAACACCTCGTTTAACTGTAGCGATCCACCAAAATCGCACGTTAACAATATGGAAATATTTACGAATTTATTATACTGTTTTTCTACGTTTATTATATGTTTTTAAACGTATTATTTTTGTATACTTTCCTTATACATATTAATTATAGGAAATTAGGATCTATTGCAGTGTATCCTATAATAGGATCTCAGTTTTTACCAACTAAGATAGAGTGACAATTTCCTGTTATATAAAAAATGAGTCTAACCATATTTATATATGTTATACAGCGATCTTATAGATCAATTTTTCACTGATTTACTAATCTGATTTTGACAAATTTTAGCTTGTTATAATCGCTGTACTGAGAAGAATCAGAATACAGTATCAGTTTTTTTAGTTGATTACCTACTGAAAAAAAATTTAACACTTAAAATTTCATTAAGTAAAAATGTTTATGTTGGTCGCAAAATTGTGTAAAACTGGTATTAATAATTGTATTTCAAATTTTTATTGATTATTTATTCTCTAAGATTTGAGGATTAAAATAAATATAAAATTATATTTTTAGTATAGGTAGATAATGAGTTATAAGCTTTTAAAGTTAATATATTAGGTAATACATTACTTTTAAAAGTAACTGTATATTTTAACTTTTCAATAGTTACCTATAACAGATTTATGCTTTTATTTCACAGAAATATTAAATAATTGCAGAAAAAAAATTGAAATATCTTTGCTTTTGATAGTATTATAAAGAAAAAAGAGATAATTAAAAATTATATTTAAAATATTTACTATAGATTATATGCTTTAATATAAGAAATTTAAATTATATAATTTTATGATTTAATATAACTAAATTACTAGGAAATGGGATCTGTTCAAAGATCGAAGTATGGTATGGTATATAAATTATAATATCATATTTCATATGATTAATTATTTTGTAACACAAAAGACATAAAACGTGATAACGTAAATAAAATGTCATTAGTTATCAGGCTTGCCAAATTTGAATAGACAGAATGACCTTGCATATAAATATCATAGTAGTAAAGTGTCCTCCGTTATGCTTTGAACAATAAAATTTGCATATATTATTTATTTAATATAAAATTATGTGATTAAATAAAATTCTTGATCTTATTTTGATTATATGAGAACTTGTCAATAGAAAAGAAGGAAATTTAAACAAAATTAAAATTTTATTTTATATGTTAAATATGATTTTTTTTAGTAAAGTAAGTTTAGATTTAACATTAATTCATAAAAACTTTTTTTTTTTAGTTTTTCTTTCTTTCTATTGATAAGATTTCATATTAGATAATGATAATAAAGAATATGAAATTTTATATTATAATAATTTATAAATATAAGATATTCAAAATAATTTTTCTTAATCTAAAAAATATATTTATTTAATTTTTAAAGTTTATGATTAATAAATAAATAATTTATTTGTAAAATTTAAAAATTTATTATTATGATTTGAATAACTTAAATAAAACTTAAAAAAAATTAAAATTATCAATAATAATTATAAAAATGTAAAATTAGTAAAAGTTAATTATATTAATTATAATATTATTATTAAATTTAAAATAGTATTTAATAAAATATAATTATAATATTTAGAATATTATTGAATTATAATATGGAAACACTATTAGTAAAATCAAGTTATAAGATATAATAAATCATATAAACTATAATATGATTTTATTAGCAATGTTTCTATATAAATAAATCATATAAAATAAGAGGTTTGTTAGAAAAAATAGGATTCTAAGAATTTTTTAATAAAATTTTATTTTTTTATTATATTTTAATTTTTGATAATATTTAAATTAAAATGCAATAAAAATTAGAATCCTTTTTTTTTTTAGCAAACCTTTTATATTATTTTTAATGGTAAATCACTATATAAATTATATTTTAATTTTATAATTTATATATTATAAATCTAATTTATTATATTTATTTATCAAATTTTATTATTAACATATTATAATTATTTTTAACGGTTAAAATTCTTTGATTATAATATAATAGGTATAGTATAACCTTTTATACTTGGCTAATTTAATTTCAGTTGTAATAGTATTTTAAATTTTTATATATTAATAAAAAATAATAAATGGGTTAGTAAAATTTAAAATTATTCTTGAATTATCAAAATAATTTATATATATAACTAACTTAATACTTTTAAATAGTAGTTTCTACTTATTTAAACCTTTATAGTAAATACTGTATTGTTAGATTGGTCGAATTAACATGCATTTTTTGCCACAATATTTAAACTCAAAATTTTATAAACTTTAAATTTAATTTGTCGAAAACTAAGCTGTATGTATATGTATGCATGTGAATATATCAGAAGCGGGAGCAGTTTCTGTTGTAATTCCCGCCAATTTTCATTTTGTTGAACACAACATATCATATTTAAAACGAGGCTTGCCTTCACATGACATTTATTTATATTATATGGTGTATATCCTTTATCAATAATTACTAAAGAATGTTCATTCAATTACTAAATTGAGACAAATTATAAATTTCTACGTAATTGCTCGAATTTTTCTAGTTAATCTGTTATCTATTTATTATTTTTATATCTTTATTTCATGAAGAAATATATTTGTAATTTATAAATTTATATTAAATAATGATTAAATATTTTATAGAAGCCCAAATATCGAAAATATCGAAATGAAAACTACCTAATAAAATCCGAATAAATTTTGAAAATTTTTTTCCTTTTTTTTTTTCCTTTTTTTTTAAAAAAAATTAATAAAATATTCTGTACAAGTTGTGAAAAGAAAATAAAAGTTTTTTTTTTTTTCAAAAAAAAGGGGAAGGGTATATTATTTATGCTGATAACCCATTTAAAAATGCTGCGGCACTGGCCAATACAACGCCAGTGTTGTCCATCGATGATAAAGCAACTTGATGATATATTGCAGGATTTTCTTCATCTTTTGATGTTAAATCGAATGTTGAGGGTTCAGAAGAACCAACTAATGTCTCAAAGTGTATATTGTGTTGTGGACTGATGATGGCTGGTCCTGATAATGATGTTCTTAGAAATACTGACATTACCGCAAAATATAAGAGAAATTTTACGCCTTGTTGTGAGCCGACTTTTTGTTCCATTTTTGAGAAAATTTTACGTTTAAAATTTAGAAAACTTGTATAGGTAATATTTTTTATTTTTTTTTTTTCGAGTATAATATTATTATAAATTTTCTTTAGAATTTTGGTTTGGAGTTTTTAAAAATAATACTTGTACGGTAAAAAGTACCTATTTTTTTTCCTTTAAGAAAATAAGGGAGGAAAGGTGCCTTTTTATTCTAAAACTAGATGTTGTTATTGTATGTATTTATTATTAAAATTTAGGAGTTCTGTCTCCAGTGTACCATTTATGAGTCATACATCAATAAATTAAAATTTTATATTGCACTACCATTTAAACTATGACAATGAATAGTAGAAGGATACAATAAACTTGGATGATCATGGAAATTCTCATCTACCTACGAATCAGAAATTCATTGGGTTTACTATATAAATGTTTTTCATTATTTTTATTATTATTCTTCTTCTTATTCTTCTTTTTTTTGAAAAGTAAAGGTTTTTTACAATGTGATTTTCAACCAGACCTTTTTGACTAATTCGGGTTTTAATATACCTGATTTAATGACAAACCTCATCAATCGCCTTGGCATTCCAATGGGTCCGTATTTATATCTCGAATTTAGTTAGCATATTTTCATTTGTGCATCATTTTTTGTCCAAAAGTGAGAATCCAAATCGATATATATATATAATATGGGAACCGTTTTTGCCATCTATGAAAACACAAATAATAATGCATTTCTATGCAAAAACATGGAGGTTCTGGTTTCAACAAGAATTACCAGTATTTATTGAAACAACTAAACAAAAATATAATCAAGAATTTCCAAAGTTTCGATTATGATGTAATGTCGTCATTACCAGATGGTTCATGTTATATCTATTAAACCTCATTTTTTATATAGGATGATTAAGGTCAATTATGATTTTACAATTTTGTTCAACAATAAAAATTCTTTTTAAGTGTTTCAGATTGTTACAATAAGTTTTAGGCAGGAATTTTTGATACTCAATGATAAACCCCCTGATTTTGTAACATCTGTCGATCTTAATAAATCAATAATAAAGCTCGCCTCCCTTTTATCAATACTTAATGATGGACGGAATTCAAAACAAGGATATTTTTGCAAAGAGAGGTAAAGCGCTTTAAGACAAAAGGTAGATTTCAAGCTGATTGTAACCTTTTTAAATTGATCTTAATTTAATCCCATATTATATTAAATAGGAACAAGAAAAATTACAAGAATTGATTAAAGAAAAACGAGAAAACAACAGCAAAAAGATAACAGAGATGAAAAGGTTAAATAGGATATAGTATCACACACTTTTAGTCTAGGTTTCTTATGATTGTAAGATATTATCACATGTATTACTATTCTCTTCTTTTTATTTTAATAATGATATTTAACCTTATCTTGGAAAAGATTCCGTGATATTATTAGATATCAAGTCTTGCTACTTAAAAGTTGACCTAACATTGTAATCACAGTAGTTAGAATATCAAGATGGATAGATTAATCATCATTTATACGTCATAAATTAACATTAGAATATAATAAAGAACTTTAATCAATTTTTTAAACAGGTAATTTTTATTTTATTTTTAATTTTTTAATATTTTTTTTTTTTGGTTAGGTTACTCAAAGTTACGTGAATCCCAACAAGATATTTCCAACATTGATTCCAATGGTTTCTAAATGATAACCACCCTCCATTACAAATAAAGTGGGTAATTTTATAGATTTGATTAATTCTCCTACCCTTTCATATCCTCCCGAAGTAATTTGTAATCCTGCGATTGGATCCTCTTTATATGTATCAACTACAGAAAATAAATAAATTAATAAATCAAATTATTCTATAATTCAAAATCAATTGGAATGCTTAATGGTTCTTACCACCCAGAGAAACAATTAAATAATCCGCGTTAAAAGACCTTATGTTCTCATCAATAACTCTTTTCAAGATCTTCAAATATTCATCATCAACAGTCGTCTTGGGCAATGGTATATTAATATTAAACCCTTCACCTTCGCCTTCACCTTTCTCTGACTCATCACCGGTGAACCAAGGATAATCAGGCGATCCATGCAATGATATATACAATGGATTCGAATTGGAATAAAATATGTCCTGTGTTCCATTTCCACTACCAAGATAGTTAATATTTATACTTGTATCACGGGAATCCCTTTTTTTTTAAAAAAAAAATACTTACTGATGATAATCAATATCTAGTATAACAACTTTTTTATTTGCTTTTACAAGGAGTTGAGCTGATATCGCAACATTATTTAGAAAACAATAACCAGCGCACAAATTTGAATTTGCGTGATGCCCCGGTGGTCGACACAGAGCAAAGACGCTTGGAACGAGATTTGATTCATCTGATGTCGATTCTTCAACGATCCTTTTGAGTTCCATCGTTGCGCTTATTACAACTTGTGCAGATTCATAGACTGATTCCCAAGTATCTGATGATGATGATAATGATGAATTTCAAACGATAAATTTCCGAAAATGGATAAATTGATATCAAACGTACTTTCAGTTATACAACAAGACATATCGAAACAGTATAACCCAGCTTTCGCAACCGAGGATGTAATTTTTATATTTTGTAATTTCACTGACGATAGATTACGGTGAGGGAAAGCTTCAGGCAATACACCATCCTCATTACCACCGTCCTTTACCCATTCTTGATAGGCAGTTTGAAGATATTCCACGTAATCTTTTGAGTGTACCGATAAAATCGGCTCTAGACCATAATTATCAGGTGATAAGAATTCAAATTTTGATAAAGAATTTGAATTAAGGTGAATTAGATGATCTTTTATTATCGATAAACGGGAAGGAGTTTCTGTATTTAATGCATTAAATAAGAATAATAAGAATAATAAGGGCAATCATTTAATTAAATAATAATATTCATCCGCAATTTACTCGTTGTACTTGCCTATGTAATCAATAAGTTTCCCGGATATGAATTCGTATTTGGGAGCGTGTTTTAAACACAGGTTTGAATAAAATACTTTCATCATTCAATAATCAATAAGAGAATCACAGCATGATATTGACGCTATTAAAATTTTCCTTGCATAATCTTTTTCCAATCAGAATGAACGGTAAAAAAGATATTAGGATTTGATAGGCCAACCTTAAAATGAATAAATAATAATTTTGATAATTTTTGGCCGATACATCCATTTAATTGTTTTTTTTTTTGATGGAAATGATTATCATGCTCCCATAAATCTTGATTGATATAAAAAGGGCGCAGCATCCTTCCGTTTTATTTTTCTTTCTTTTTATTTGATCGACAAATTTATATAAGTGATTTCAACAATAAAATTGCTTTTTTTTTTTTCCAAATAGAAACAATCTCAGGGCTATACCTTTTAAGAAATTTTCACGAGCTCTCAATTTAATTTAAAGTCTCCTAAATTAGGAAAGTTTTATTGTGGAGCACTATAATTCGGTACGTGAAAATTTTGGTAAACTCAAGGCGTTTCCGTTGCATAAAATATAGAGAGAGTATTTTTAACCTTACCTTAAGCGAGGAAAAAAAAAAAATAATAATAATAATAATAATAAATTTTTTTTTTCCAATAATATGTTCTTTTACAAAGTGAATTTATAAGAAGTTAGCAGGCTCATTAGTATTTGATACAGCTGATTAACCACATTTTTTTTATTAAATTATAGGCGTCTTTACCCCGCATTCAATACACTTCTTTATTTGAGAGAAACTCCTTTTTTTGGAATACGTGATATGTGGGGAGCTAACCTTTACTTGGAAATAAAAAAAGGTTTTCAACAATGTTGGACGAACAATTGATAACTTTGTTTTCTTTTTTCACAAAGTAAAAAAAAATCCTTTTTAATTTTTTTGGGGGATGTTTAATGAAGGGACAATCATCGAAAGTAGCCCTCTTTTTTTTTCTTTTGAACCGAATCGAGATAAAGTTTTTCAATGCTGTCATAAAATAAATTTTCATTAACAATGGGATGATTATATTGTTTGTGAACATTGCATCGATTTGCATTTGAACAGTTTTAGCTTATGATGAGATAAATATATATTGTAATGAATATATATTGAATGAAACTTTAGGAAATTAATCACTTATTTATTTTGATTGTTACATCGCATAAATGAGATGAAAAGAACTTTAAAAAAAAAAAATTTTTTTTCAATACCTAAATTTAAGGATGGCGTACTTTGTTTTTCGATCTACTACCTTTATGACTTTTTTATAAACTCGAAACATTCACGTATCATAACAAAGAAAATTAATGGTTACTTTGTCATGTCTACGTATGCTTTCTCCGCAAACAAGGTTCCAATTATGGAAGAAACCATTTTTTTTACAACCGGGGCTCAAAGCTTTCAGGGTACCCTGACATTTTAGACGAAATCTATCAATAAGATCAAAAAGATATTGATAATCTAAGGAAGAAATTTCTCCCTTTTGCTATTAATTGCTTCGTGAGGTAAACTATGAAGCCAATGGACCATTTTTATTCGTTTAGAAGCACAATGTTAACTTTTTTAATTCGAGAACAATTCCGCAGTAAGTAAAGTGTGTCAACTATAAAAATCAAGTGTTACAAATATAAAAAAAACGGGGTATTTTTTTTTTGTCAAACAAAAGTTCATATATATAAAAAGGGTAAAGTGATTGGTGATTGATATATAAATAACCTAGGATAATAAAGTTGCATTATTGTTTAATCCCCATTTTTACCCCACAAAAATCTTTTTCCTTTTTGATTCTTGTAATCTAACCCATTATAAAATAATAATCGGCAATTCGACAGAGGATGATTTATTCTAAAGAATTATCGGAGAACAATCACGCTTAGACTCGGCATTCGCCATATCACTCAGCATGTCAGTCCTTGAATTACATATACACGAACTTTTCGTGTTCTGATAAATATTTTTTCTCGTGTTGTGAAACAGTCATTTTTATTTATTAAACCAAAACATCATACCATAAATGGTTACTTTTTTGTTTACAAGAAGATTGGTACGAACTTCTTGATATTTGTTAAGTTAATTATGATGTTTAGTGTTATAACGACGAGATGATTTGCTTCTTTCTTATTTGTTGAAATATTAATTAATATATTTTAATTAATTTTAATATATTTAATATATTTATATTTAATCTATCACGTTTTTATATTTATATTACACATCCATTTATATATATATATTTCCTTTTTTAAATTAATTAATTTAAATGTTAATTCTAATCATGAATCTATTCAAAGAACAAAAAATGGTTCTCGATTTCGACATATTATATCGGGATCTTTTTGCGGAAATTTACCAAAAACAAAAAAAAAAAATTAATAATAATAACCTCTTTCACACAAAGAAAAATATTTTATATTTTAGTTTACATTATGAAATCTACGGTACAAATAAACTTTTGAATTCTCACACATGTTTATCTGTTTATTTTCGTATACAAGTCGTATAATGAATGAATACGCCACCTAATATGTTCGTTATCCGGGGATTAAACAAACCAGCTTTTATTTATTTATTGTTAATTAATATTAACGAATATGGTTTGGATTCATTAGATTTTCTCATTTGATTGTTAATTTTATTGAGAATATGATTAATCAAATAACATTGTGGGACTTTTTTTTTTAAAAAAAAAGAGAAAAAAAAAAGAATTTTGGATTCTGTAGTAAATAACGCCATTTTTTTTTAAAAAAAATGCGATGATATCCATGATCTGCGGTCGATAGGACAAATATAAAAATCGTACGTCATGTCACATCCAATAAAATTATAGATTAACCATTTTGACTTACCATGCATATATATTATTATCTAACAAGTTCATGAAACAATCAATCAAATAACCCCGTTAAGGGAAAAGGAAGAAAAAAGGAAAGATTAAAAAAAATTACATTCCTTTATTCCAGTTAACTTTTGTTTTCATTATTATTCGTGCCCTTCCCCAAAGATGCACATCCAACTAAATGATGTGCGATGTAAGAAACACATCACGTTACGCCCTGCATTATTACTTTTAGATCACACAAAGGAAGTTCTTAGATAGAGGAATCCTGGTAACTCGCTTTTAAATTTGTTCAACGTTACAATAAAACAAATGTAATGCAAGAACCATTGTTGTGTATCTTTTACTTTATCCTTTTATAAACGTGTCCTTTCGAGTGGAGGTATTATATTGTGTGTAAAAAGTCCTTGTTGCTACGTTATCTAAATATGATCGGTGATGTCTGTTAAAAGCTAATGTGATTTTGCATTTCGAGTAGAAAATCTTTTTTTGGTGACAATGCACAAATTATCCCGATATCCTTTCTGTGGTGTCACTTTGACACAGAACTCTCCTTTTCTCATTTCACATAAGTTTTGCTCTTTCTACCTAAAGATGGGGGGATAAATTTAACATAATTAATGATTAAATAAAAAAAAACTTTAATTTTTTTTCTCTTATCAGTTAATTATCCAATTATTTCCAAGATCCACAATTTTAATTACTACAAGTTGTACAAACCCGTTTGGAATTTGTCACCGATAAGAAGAAATTTCCAATTTCTCTTGTGTCACCAAACCTTATATAGCTTATCTAAATTCCCTTTGAATGAACGCTAATTTGATGAATCGGGGCATCCCCGACGTCTTTTTGTGGAAAAATATGAAAATACACGTGCCTCATCATATGCGTTACACATAAAAAAAATGTCAATATGTGAAGAGTTATTCTTTGGGGGATGAAATTCAAAAGTGATAATAATGTAATAGTCAACTGCAATACCATTAATAAGCGTTGGTATGTGCGTGAGGGTTTAGTTAAAATTAGAAAATTAAAGTCTTTTATGTCCAAAAAAAAATCATTTAACGTACAATATTATTTTGAAATTTTAATACTTACTTTATATGTATCATTAATGTATTCTTAAATTAATTGTTTTGAAAATATTTTGTTGATAAAAAAATAAATTGGTTTTATTTTTTAAAAACAGGAAATATTTTTTTTTATTGAAAAAAAGGTTTTAAAAATGTGATAATTTTTTTTTCTTTGAAGATTTATACTTCAAGCAAAAAAAAAAAAAAATATGCAGTACAATCAAAAATCAAAAATCAAACTCTTATCGCATTATCTTTTTAAAATCAATTGCCAAAAAAACAAAAACGTGTTCATAGTACGCACTAAAATATATTTAGCTATGTAACGCAAAGTACAATGATAAACATAATAATAAATATATTTACAATGATTTTCATATGCTTCAAATAAACAAATAAATGGCAAAAAAATCACCTCATCAAAAAAAAAACGTTTTCAGGTTTATTTCTCGCATTTTAACATTGCACATTGCACAAAGCTATGTATATTTGTGACATTTCAATGTGCAAATTTAGAGTTCATATTCTCAATATCACTCCTCAATGCGAATTGTTTCTCTCCTCTTTTCTTTATATTTTACTTGACATACTGTAAATATACTGTTGTGGTTTCAAAAAAAAGAATTCAGTGAACTGCACATATGGGTTGTTTTTTTTTTGCTGCAACGTTACGTTATTGTAATTAGTAGCGCCAAGCTTTCTTTAATGAAAATAATGTAGAAAAAAGATTTCGCGTTAAGTCATTTTCGTTCATTCATATTATCAAAACAGGATTATATGAATTTCATAACATCAATTTTACATAAGGACCTTTTCACGCTCTTCTGACAAGGGTCAATGCTCTTTCAATTCTCTTGTATGCTCCAACAATATTAGTGCGCACCAACCAACATCTGAACAATGCATTTTTATTTCATACACTTATAGTATATTACAAACTTCCTTTTTTATAAATCTTCAGCCCACCTAAACTTTACTAATCACAGATTCGATCAGAAATTGATCCATGCACAAAGGCCAATATTCTTTTGCCTTTTGACACGTAAAAATCCTTGTGATAGCTGCGATGTAGGGAACAATTTCTCTTTACAAGGATTGGGTTCCTTTTTTTAATACTCTTTTATGGTAAAACTCTATTTTTCTTAAATCACATGATTTTAATTGTATACGCAGATTTGAAAATCTTTTCGTTTTTCACAAAACAAAATAAAGATGTTCATTGACCGCCTCATTCTTGTAATACTCAGCATCCTTCGAACCAGACATTTAAGGAATTCCCGTTTACTTCAACGTTTTTCAGTCATTCCATGAAGCTTGAATTTGCTTGTGGTATAATGTATATTTGTCAATGCCTCGGTAATAGAATAATCAAACCCTCCCCCCAAAAAATAAATGGGGCTCATCCCTTTTTGAACACCGCCAAAGTTTGGAACTGTACTTTTGTTATAATTTGTTTATTAAACGTGGACGCCACTCGCTCACTCTATTTCGACACCTCCAATGAAATGCTCATATTGTAACCATTATAACCTTTATTCATAATATCCATATATATATATATATTTTTTTGTTTTACATAACGCGAAAATTACATTTAGGTGAAAAAAAAATAAACAAAAAAACCGGATTTATCTTGAAAAGATGATGTGTGACATGAGTGGTCAGTGCACTTTACCTTTTCAAAAGGGATCTATTTGGTTACGCAATGATCGCAAGATCCGCCGTAGATAATAATTCCACTAAATGTAACCATGCCGAATGGTCTTTTATTGGAAACAAATGGAAAATAAAAGAATATTGACACTCGGATTGGTTGATTAACATTAATTCGGAAAGTTCAACTTGGTTCTTTGTATTGTAAATATAAAAAAAAAATTATATATTTTTAAATTTTAAGCTTCTAATAATAAAAATGTGTTTTATGGCGTTTTTTTTTTATTTTTGGGTCAGTCAAACTTTCCACTTGGATAAAAGGATGACGTCATAAAATGATTGGGCAATAATTACGAAAGGTGACATCTTGTCGATCGTTTTCCATTGCAAAAGGATCATCACTTTTTTTACAATACCGATTAGTGACAGGTTTTTTGACATGTCACACCTAAATCACTAATCTCATTTAGATATTTGAATCTCACATTTTTTCCTCCTAAATTTGTTTGTTTTCTTTAAAACTTTGCAACGTTGTTCAAAACCAAAACTGTTTTATGTATATTTTCCACGTTGCCCCCAAAAACGCTAGTCTGCCAAAATAACACCTTTATCCAACTTTGTAACAATGTATCGAAAAGGGGACTGATTCGTTCGAAAAAAAAAAATACATGCAAATATGCATACAGATAAGAATTTCGGTGTGCTTTTTTGTTATCTATGAAGAAAGTTCTTTTTTTGTAATAACCATTATAAAATAGATTTTTGACCAAAATTCCAAAAAATTTTTTTTTGAGTAACAATCACATCCGAACTTACGCGTATCAACAATCGTTAAAACAATCAAATGATCTATTTGTCGAAATTTTTACCTTTTCCAATAAAACCTTACATCGAGAATTCGATAACAATACCTTTTTGTAAAAGATGGAATAATTGGTTTGATTCATTACGTATAAAGACAAAGTTGCCAGCCGAAATCTTCAAACCTTGTTCCATTTTGGTATTCCTTATCAATTGTTTACACTTTTAGGTTCACCTTTAAGGATTGAGCTTGCTTGCGTGATGATGGCATAATCCTGGAAATATATGTTTCAAAGTAAGCATGTGATCAAATTTTGCATTCGTTCATGTATGGAACAAAATATTACTGCGTTTGGGATAATTGCCGTTATCCCACGAATAAAATTTCAAATTCCAATCTGATAGACATGACTAGACCTAATAAAGGAAGAACTTAAAACAATTAGCACATGATGATAACAACTTGAGTAAGACTTGTCAAATGTGTAACCTATTAAAACATTTTGGTTTTTCATTTATGTGGGATCCCAAAACAAAAAAAACATTTTTTAATTATTTTTTTAATCACCAGTTTTATTTATTTTAAACCTTTTCAAGAAAACCACAGTTGTAGTTGTGGTTACCCTTGAATTTTTCAACTCATTACTTCAATCATTGAATGTAACCCCACTTTTTAAAAATTTCCTATTAGTTAAGAAAAATTTTTTTATAAACAATTATAATTTTCTTTTATTGTAATTTTTTATTTTATCCAAAAAAAAAAAATAATAATAATAGTTTTTTGAATATATAAATTAAAATAGTTTAAATTAAATAATTTTAAAGTTTATAATATGCTATATAATAAATATATGTAATGTACTGTATGTAATGGTAATCCTACTCAACTCATCAATACAATACATTATATTATACCTTCTAAACATACATAAAAAATACCTATTATAACGAAATATTTTTTTTTTATAAATTGTCGTCTTTTCGCTCAAAAGATTATTGAGAAATCATACTTGGAAAAATAAGTTCACCTTTTTCTCGAGTTCTCCAAAACCTTTACGAAAAAAACTTCTCTTGGTTAGATATTGAAAAAACTTCTTCTCGTAGAAATTTTTTTTTTTTGCTTATTCTTCATAAATATCTAAACCGAGGAAGATTTCTTTCGTTTTTTAATGGTATGCTTTCATTTCCATTCGTGCTTCATTAGGGGATAATCCAACATCTAATACAATATACTCATTTTATTAATGTATTTTCATCTTGCGCGTGGTGTTTTAGTGTTCAACATTGAAATAAATTTGAAACATCAACGAAATCAACCGTTTGGTGTCACAATTTACGAAATTTATCTATTTTTTTTGAAATTATTATCTATTCTACGAAAGCTTTCCTACCACACTTTTATTTCTATATACCCTTTCGTTTGAATAACCTTTTTTTCTAACGTTTTTTTTTCGTTTATTCTCAACAGACTTATTTTTTCTTTTTCTTTTTGGGAATAAATTAGAATAACAAATATCACTTTTCTTTATCACAAAAAATTTCCATAAAAAAAAAATCCCCCCAAAAAAAATAACCCTTCTTTTTTTACACGTTGCCTTAAACTCGCAGCTCTACATATTCGGTTTGTCCTCTTTTTTTTTTTATTTTGATAGTCCTATCTTTTTGTTTATTATTATTAACATTATTTGTTTTTTTTATTTTTGTTTTTTTTATTTATACTTTTTACATTAAACGTATATAATTTTTTTACACATAAAAGATACTAAAATCTTCCGGGCCACTTATCAAAAAAAAAAAAAAAAACCCACTTCTTTAACGACTAACGTTTTTGTAAATTTTTGGTTCCAGCAAAAAAAAAAAATTGGAAATATTTTCTCTATCCCTGTGTACATATATATATCTATCTTTACAATTTTTTTTTTTTTTAAAAAAAAAGGCTCCATTATAACGTGTCTTTACGACATAAAAGGAAAATTTTACCTCTTTTGAGATCGTTTGACCGATAATTTTCTTTTTTTGTATCAAAAAAAAAAAATAATAATAATAATACAACCTTTTTAAAAAACATTGGAAATTTTGTTTTTTTTTGAAAAAAGGAAAAAAAAGAAATCAACTGATAATAAGTCTTAACGAAAAGATTGTTTTTTTTCTTTAATTAAAAAAAAGGAAAGTTCCAAGTAAGTATTAAGTGACCTTTTTGTCTTGAAATTGGGAAACGAGAAAAACAATTCGAATTTGTTCATTTACAAAGTTTTTAACTTTGATGGATATTATGAAATTTTGTATCTCTTTTTGGGGGCACAACTTTCTGTATTCGGATTTCAATGTTTGTCTGTTTATTCTCCTTTTACCCTTTGCAATTCATCAAAAAAATTTTGTTCATAATTCGCTCCTTTATACCGTTTTAACTAATTATAATTCATAATTATAATTTTAGAAATCAAAGAATGGTACATTCTTCTGCAGATTTATACAGTTCTTACCCTGTAATACATAATCATCACTCAGTCTCTTTGACAAATAATCTTGATAACATGTCTTCAAAATCTCCTTGTAACGGCACTGATAATAATCTTTCCAAAAAAAGAAAACAGGAATATCAATATCCGGTGACTCCAGAGACCGATTATTTTTTGCCAAATCATCCACAAAAGGCTCAGTTGCTATATCAACAACATACCCAACAACTTGTAAACGTCGCTTTTCAACAACAACAACAACAACAACATCATCAGCAACATCAAATCACTTCGGCTGCAATGTTGAATTCGACAGACTGGACAGATTATGTTCGTTCAAACCCTTCAACACCATCAAATTCACCACCCCCAAATTCTGTCACAAACTCAAACAGCCCTTATAATAATGGTTCCACCATGAATTTGGATGATTACCTGATTAACCCGTTCGGATTCGAAGGTCTTTATCCATACAACACTCTTGGAACAACAATTCCAATGACCGCAACTTCATACTTTTCCGCTAATCCCAATTTTGGCTTTGATGATGTTAACAACACGACATCTTGCTCTAGTAACGTAATCGCTAATCAGCATCATGGTGGTGTGAATGAAAATGAATCACAAAATCATCAAACGTTGGATCAATTGGCCGCCGCGGCTGCCTTAATCTCCGCCTCTCGTGATGATGGTCCTTCAATGAGTGAGAATATTCGTCAGAATCGCAACAGACCTCATTTAATGCCTTTGAACATTGAACCTGCAACCACAAATTCAAACATTTACCGGTTCAGTGAGAATTTTAATTTCGCGGACTCTATGTCAAGTTCTCCATCTTCTGCGGTCACAATGCCACCAACGCCAGTATTTTTCGAACCGGGATTTCTTGATGGCGTCACAAACACAATCACCGATGGGTTTTCTTTTGGAATCAATCCAACCACATTAACTTCTGAACAATTGTTGGAAAATAATCAGATTTCTGTCTCTCGATCTCATAGTTACGACAGTGTTTCATCATCATCTCAACAAAGTACAATCTTCACCTCCGACAAAATTATTGAAAACCCTCAAACTGTTACTCCGGCTGCAATCACAATTAATCAACCTTATCAACCAAATTTTGCTCCATCCCTTTCTCGAACTCCATCTGCTCTTGGCGTAGAAACTGACTATTTTAATAGTAAAAAGCATCCAAAAGGTCAATGTGAACAGGCTAATAAAAATAATAATGTTAGAAGAAGAAGCAGAACTTTGTCTAATCCTCCCAATATAAAAGCGGAGCCAAGTACTCCGGCTCTTTCCCCACCGGAATCACCAGGAGCGTCCGTATCAAGCTCTTCGTCTCCACCATCTCCCTCACCTCCACAAACTCCAAATTACATGCGTCGCGTGTCGATTAGTCCAACGATCATTGAAGAGGAAGAGGAAGTTATGATGTCAAACCCTAACCCTGTTCCACTAGTAACATCATCATCTCCTTTCGTTCCGGATCTGCCAAACATTAATTCGGTCAATCCGCGACTTACTCAAAGTGCTGCAGCTAATGTGATGAGGCCTGTTATACAACAATATTTAAATTCTTCTAATCCAGCAGCATTGGGCGAAAAAACTGTTATGGTTCTAACTTCAAAAGTTGCTCAAAAATCCTATGGAACCGAAAAAAGGTTTGTTGTGAAAATCTCAAGATTGAATAGTTAATAATAATCGATGGGATTCTCTCTCATTAATAATAATTACCGTTCTTTTCATGTTTAGATTTTTGTGTCCCCCTCCTACTACGTTGATTTTGGGATCAAATTGGTGGAGTCCGTCACCGCACAATCATAATGTTGGACATTCATCAAATTCAACAACTTTTAGCCCACCAAAAATTTCTGTGGGAATTTCGGGCGAACAGGGACATCAACAAGGAATCCTTGAATGGATTAGTCCTTCTGGTAACCCACTCGATCCAAATTCATGCTCCGAAATGGCTTTCAGCGGGAAATGTGTTTCAAAACATTTGTATATTAACGATGCTGACGAGAAACGAAAGAGGGTGGAAGTTTTAGTGAACATCCAAAGTCCAATGGGTCATAATTTTGGCACGTTTGCTAGTAAACCTGTCAAAGTCATAAGCAAACCAAGTAAAAAACGACAGAGTGTGAAGAATATGGAATGCAAGTATTTCAAAAGAATTTTTCGTTTTAATTATGATTGTTAATTTCACGAACTCAAAAAAATTAATTGTAATTCTACTCCTGAATGTAGTGTGTATACATCATGGAACCACGATCTCTCTCTTTAATCGAATCAGGTCGCAAACGGTGTCAACGAAATATCTTGGCGTGTCAATGCAAAACACAAATCAAACGTTTGGACCTTGGTATAGCAATGGAAATAACATGTCATCAAATCCTAATGAACAACCACATCCATGTTTTGTTGCACGAACGGGAAGTTGGGACCCTTTCATCATTTGGATCGTTGATCCACATCACGTCAAGGGAAAAGATGATCACCCTCAGCAGCCACCTCATCCCAATTTCCCTCGTCCACCACCTGCCGCTATTAAAACAAATTCCAACAATCCCACGCCGATTCACTACAATCAGCCCATCGTCTTACAATGTTTGACAACAGGGATGACAAGTCCGGTCATGATCATTCGCAAAGTTGATAAAGGCAGTATGGTCATAGGCGGGGGTATCCTTGAACCAATGAACGGATATAGTGATGGTGAAGAAGGTTAGTAGCAACTATTCTTTGAATATTACGAGTTTTTCAAAATTACTAATAATACGTTTTATCACATAAAAAAAATAGCTATTGGTGACCCAGTATCACAATTACACAAAGTTTCATTCCAAATAAAGGACGCTAACATAGCTACTCCGTCACCTGTCACATCACCTACATTCCAACCTTCAAATCAGGCACACCCACCAGGTCCTGGTACATATTTAGCTTGTTTGGGTGACGTTGTTGGAATGCAGCGTGCAAACGAAGGTCGAAAGATAATAAATAGCTCAACAGTCGGTGCAGGTTTATTAGATATGAAGATCAATTCACCAATACTTTCTCCTACATCAGAAATCCCCCCAGTCGTTGCCGCAGCATTGGCAGGTGCACAAACAAATTTTCCGTATGATTCAACACCATTGTCCGAATCAGCGGTAGTATCTACTGAAGGTGGCAAAGTGGTTAGAAAAAGAAGGGTATCGTCATCAGTAGTTATCAGACCTACCACTACATTGTCAAAATCTACTTTAGCTAAAAATAGGAGAAGAGTGAATAGTTTGAGTGGTGTTGCTAGCGAAGTTGATCTAGCCAAATTTGCTTCTACGACAAGGAACTCCATGAGTAGTCATCGAAACATCAATAATCATAATAGTAATAGTGGTAATAACGACAATGCTGGTGCTTTATGGACTGAAGATGTTACAGATGCCGCAGTGTGGACCATTGTTGGAACTGGTAAATATTTTTTACATTAAAAAAAATTATTTTTTTATTTTTTTATTCTTTTCATAATTTTTAACTTACAATTTCTATTTAATTTTTGTTAGATTGTGCTTCATACACATTTTATTCTCCACAAAATTTGATGGGCCGTCAAGTCAATCCTTCATCGTCCCATATTATTTCACCATTACCACCATCTACCCCAGTTACACCACTTCCCATTATTTCAACTGTTATAACAGCTGCATCTTCGTCTTCAAATAGCTCTCATGTTCAATATTCAGCGACCCCAAATACTGTAACTATTTATGGTGAAAATTTTACACGCGACCTTATGGTATGGTTCGGAGATAAGCCAAGTCCAAGGACAGAATTTCGATCCAAAGACTGTCTTGTGTGTTTGTTACCTGAAGAATTGATTTATGAAATAGATCGTCATAATAGTGTCAAACTGGACATTGTTAATGCTAGTCTTCAAGGTCGTCATCTTCATCTTCTTCCACATGGAAGGATGAATGGTGGCAGACCTATTTTATTCAGTCGAAATGATGGGATAGTGTTTAGAACTGATAAAGTATGGCCATAATGATCATTCTAGGCTATTATTTAATATTTATCTATTTTATCGTAATGAAACAATTTTTTTATTCTAAAAAAATTATGAAGTTTTTTCCATTTTTTTTTTTTTAATTTTTATTTTTTTTATTAATATTTAATCTTAAATTAAATATTCTTTTATCGCCTAAGATTCTCATCGATTTCGATTTTTTTTTTAATTTCCCGTTTTTCGCTTTTTCAGAAGTTTCGTTTATCTTCTATTATTCATAACGTTTTTTAAAATTTCGTTCAGCATTCACCTCAATTTTTTTTTTTTTATTTATATATACCTTTTTTTCTTTTTTTTTTTTGTGAATATTTTATTTCTTTGTAGTTATTTTTTTTTTTTTTCCATATTTGATTCTTACGTGAGGTGCTTATTTTCTTTTAACGACACAACGAAAAAAAAATTCCAATATATTTATCGGACAAGGAAAGATAACAAAAAAATATAAGAAATTTGGTCAACAAATTATAAGAATTCCAAATTTTTTTATGATTTTATTTCAAAAATTCAGCACAATTTTAAATCTTTGTAAATAGCCGAATATCTAGTAGATACTTAAATCTTTCTCTCTCCCAAACCAACTATAATTTTTTTTTTCTTTCAAAGTTAATTAAATATATTTTTTAATAATTATGAGGGAGAAGAAAGCAACATTTTTTAAAAAAATTACTATAAAAATTATGTTTTGAAAAATCTTGTAAAAAAAAAAAAATTTTTTTCCTCTGTTTTTTTTTTTTTGTTTTTATATATAATATATATATACTTGTATATAAATTTTGTTTATAATTTTTTTCTTTTTTTTTTTTTTTTATAAAAATTATAAAAAGACTTGTTTGGTTTATCTAATTATCTTTAATTCAATAAAAAATGTTATATTCTAATTATTAAACTTGTCGAATTTATTAATTGATATTTACATTCTAACGAAGATAAAGTAAATATATCTTTTTCATTAGTATTACGCTTTTAATCGATATATGAAATATAAATAAATCAAAAGCAAAATTAAAAAAAAAATCAGGAATTTTTGTATGAACACAGGCGTGCGATGCAAAATTATAAAAAATGCATCGCGTTTTTATAATACGAACAATTTCTTTAACATCAACACCTGATTGAACATATTTCAGCCTAAAAATCATATTTGGCATATAAAAAGTAAAATTAATTTTTCCCGGCAGTTTTCCCAGCAAGGAAAAGAACATCCTATTGCTTATGATAGCGGAACCTTGCATAAACATGAGCAAAATTATGATACTACAAATCTGAAAGTCCTCGCTGTGATCTGAACCTTAGGAAAATTTAGGCATTACTTACATGGAAGGAAGTTCAAGATTTATACTGATCACAGTGCACTCGTATGGTTATTGAATAATAACCAAAGTACTAATGGAAGGCATTCAAGATGGAAAATGATTCTGCAAAACTACAACTATGGAATCATTCATAAAAAGAGGAAATACAACTCAGTATATGACGCATTATCTAGAATTCCAATACAAACATCTTTAACAACCAATTATTGTAAGAAATGAATAGGAATGAATATGATGATATTTTTAAATATTTAACAACTTCATATACCTGGAAAAGACAAATAGACAATGGAAATCCCAGATTAGAAAACAATCCAACAAGTATTTTACAACAGAATAACATTTATTTAAACAATGTAAAAATGAACAACCCTAACGAGTTATATTACCTGAACAAATTGAATTGATATTATTCAATTTATATAAAGATATCACTGAAACACATCTTGAAATGGAAATGACACAAAAAATTAAGGAAAGGTATTATTGGTCACAAATGTATGAAAGTGTTAAAAAATATATTCAATAATATGATATATACCAAAGAAAAGAAAAACCCAAAAGGACAGAAGAATCTCATTCAATATCAGTATAGAGACCTTTTTAACTGAATCGATATAAATCTACATCAGTAACAATAGGAGAAAATAGATATCTTATAGTAGCTACAAGCAAGCAAAAGCTACAGATGTAACAGAATTTATATTTAAAGAAGTCATCTGTAGTATCTGAAGTTATTTTAATAAACAGAAGCACTGAATTTAACAATCAATAAATAAATAAATTATGCAAATATTAGCAGACCAAGTATCGATTAACTTCACCATATAGATCTCAAATGAATAGAATGGTAAAAAGTTTTAACAAAACTATAAGTGAATGTTTAATAAAACTCTCTGAAAAAAAAGAATAAGATCAATGTATTAAAGCAGTTTTGTTAACTTATCAAATCAAGAAATATGAATCTATAGGATTCACTCTATTTCAGTTACTATATGAAAGATAAGCAACCCTACCAATTAACCTAAAGGTAGTAATTTACAATAAAAAAGAAAAAGAAACATTGCTCAAAAGAACTCAAGAAATCATGAAAAAGAATGATGCATACAAAGTACAACAAAAAATTAGAATATAATAAGTAAAATGAAAACAAAAAAATATATCTGAAAAATTCAAAATAGGAGACAAAGTTCTGTTGCATCAAATGCATTTAGAAAATAATTTCTCAGCGAAATTAAAGGCAAAATAAATCAGATCATACTTTATTCATGAAGTTTACAAAAAGAATAATTATAAGTTAAGAACTCTTGAAGGAAGATTACTGAAGAATTCAGTGCTGAAAATAGACTTAAGACCTATTATAAGAAAACATTAAAACTATAGGTAGTCATTAAAGAATTTCTTTTAAAAAAAGAAAATTAAAGAGAGAAGAATGTAACCCAAATGATCTTCAAAAAAACAGAAAATTATAGTATAGTAAAAATGATTAATAATATAATCAATATATAAATCACAAAAATTGATCTGCAAGAATTTATGATACAATAGTGATCTACAAAATTAACCAAATCAATTAATAAAGAGACAAATAATAGATTATTGGCCTATGATGACATATGTAACTAGAAATTCCAAAAGAAGAAATTAGTCAAAGGCTAAGTATTGAAATGTAATAATAATAAAGAACAATATAATTATATTTTTATATCTCTTTAAATACAAAATATTATAATTATAGGATTATTGCATAATGATTAAGTAGTCATTACTTAATTATTACAGCAAAATTACATAGAAAGATGAAAGAATTATTATATAGTTTTTATGTAATAGATAGCAATTTAGTGTAGAAATTTTATTATAAATAAGCTGAGTTTTCATCATATATAATTAGAAATTTAATGAGAAAAATTTAGAAAGTTAATTTTATAAGTTAATAACCTATTTGCTAAATTGTCTCAATAAAACAAATCACTTGTATCAATCAATTTTATGTCAAACTTTATTTTGTGTCAACCATATTTAACATAGCTGATTTATTCATATCAATAAATCACTTAGTATCAAACCAATTACGTTGTGTTAACAATTGTATTTAGTATTACCAATAAGCTTAAGTGTTTAATATTATAAAAATACTTTAAGCTATGTATCACTAACTTAGTTATCATATGACTATTATAACATCATCAAAGTAATTTTCCTAATATTAAAGAAAATTATGAGTTACACATTATAAATTAAAAGTCTTCATATTTGCCAATTTGCAAACTTAATCGTAATAGTATACCAACATCAATCAAAGTTCAACATAATTAAAGTCTCTTTCAATTTATCGTAAAGATTAAGTTAAATCTTGCTGCTACTTATATTTTAATCAACAAAAGAATGCAGAACTTGAGGCTAGGCTTGCGATAGTGGAACAAGCTTTTGTAGCAGAATTACAAAATGATAAGAAAGCAATGATATCAGACTTCATAGTAGATCAACTTGAGCAATGTAAGCTTGATGCCAAAATGAATAATGTAATACTAAAGATGCTAAAGGTAATATCTGACAGCCTTTCACTTTACAAAGATAATAAAAAGACTGATGAATTCTTAGATTCAGTATATAAGAAAAGGGTTAGCGATGAGATTAAGCAGAAGGAAAAACAACTTCATACTAATGCATCTGAACTTGGAAACTGTAAAAATTCTTCACAATCAGAAGGTATTAGAGAATTCGAAAATACTTGGAAGAACTGTGAAGATTCATCATAATCAAAATCATATGATATTAAGGAATTTATATCTGATCAGCATGATGAAGTTATTGCCAAGTTAGATAAAAATATAATTGTAGAACAGGAGTTAAAGCAACAGCTATTGTCACCTACACATACATGTATATCTACATCAGATCAAAGTTTAAAAAGACAGGATTCGTCTTCAGATACTACACAAAATATAGTTTATATATTCAGAAAAGCTAATAAGCTTAGTCAAGAAGCAATTTTATACTGATGCTACTTTATATAAAAATATGACAAAAAGATTGATAACCTTGTTGCTGATAGAGTTAAGAAAAAAACTGTGATATTTGAAGTATATCAAAAAATCAAACAGCTTTTACCTGATATAACGAATGTGAATTTGCGTCAAAAAATCCTTAGAGCTAGAAAACTATTCAAGTTATTTAATACATTAGGACTAGAGAAAATTAACCAGGTCTCTTATAATACAGATGCTATTTTGAGCCTCACTTATCAACAAATCCAAAATATCATAGATCATGTGAATTCAGTGGTTAGTTCACACAATGAAATCATGAATATTCTTCACGATCAGAATCATGTGACTTTGAAAATTACTGATAATAACTTGACTAATACATATATCCTTCTGAAAGCTGAAGTAAATACATTGACAAATGTATTATTTGTATTATTTATACCCCAATATAAGCCAACTTATGACCGATCCTATTTTTGCAATAAGACATTGGATCAATATTCTAACTTATATAGAGAATTTAGTAGTGAAGGCTTTGATTATTATGGCATTACTGATGAGACATCATGCCTATCATGCAAGTTAGATCATAATGATGAAGAAAGTATAGAAGGTAGGTATAAATCCGGATCTTACTTTATACGAACAGCGTAAAATTGAGATAGTTGCATAGTCTCATTATTTTACAGTACTATATTTGCTTACGCTTCATTATGATATTTTTTTACAGGCTAATTTATGTCGGCTATTACCTACTGTAATTTAAATTGATTTGCAATTATATAAAAAGGTAATATGAGCAAGTCCGATAAAGTATTAACCTCTAAGTATCTGGATTGGTATGCCAAGTTAAGTGGATTACCAAGTGTTTTGACAGATAAAATTCGTTCCAATTTATACAAAAAATATAAAAAAGAAACTGGACATGAACCATGGCAATTATCAGAAGCTGTGACAAGTGTATCAGCAAAAACTCAAGCCTCCGATTTCAAGCCTATCACTTACGAAGCCAAACCCTATCCAGAATTAATTATTGAATCCGTCTTAGAGCATTTCACATACCTGAAATTCCAAAATAGTTTTAGGGGGATTGATAATTATAATTTGCCGTGGAACTCGCTGTGTCCTATTTGCGATGGAAAACATGGGAATTACGGATTACATGGCGAATGGTATAAAAATGGAACAGAATATTGTCTTACTTGCTTCACTTCAAGCAATAAATTCAAATTCGGAATCGTAGCTACATGATGGCATTGTTGCATCAGATATTATTCCGCAGTGTAAACAAAAATATGTATTTTTTTTATTTACAATCAATAAAGCTAAGGCACATTAAACAAAAATTTTATAAATATGGGTGGGATAATTATTTCGTAAATCTAGTGTAGTAAAAGAGTGTGGAGGTGAGAATCTTGTAATTATTAGAGACAAATTAGCTATAGATATTTCCGTAAACGTGAGAGAGCAAAGAAATAACTTGATGCTGGGACTCGCATTAAATGGCCTAGGATCCGCGTACTCCCTCCCATCATATATTTCATTCGCTTTTTTTTTCACATTGCTCAGAAAAAAAAATAATAATATTTTATCGATCATTCATTGCCTTCGAGCATATGCGAGGCGGATTCACTTCTCTATATTTCTTATATGATATATCTGAAAAATTAATAAATTTTGCCCGCATCGGGCTCGTTATTTTTAAGATTATTAATGTATTTGCATTGAATGTTAGCCAGTCTATCTTACTATGGACTACGCAAAATCAACGTATATATTGCACGAATTAAATAAATGATGATCGTCTGACATGATTGTGTGACAACCATCAATCATATATAACCCCCAATTTTGATTTCTTTTTAAAAAAATCTTTTCCCATATACAGTATACTACAATGCAAAAAAATCCATTTACGAAGGTATATCTTGGCACGTTTTGTTTTTAGATTTTTGTCGTCTTGTTTACAAATTTTTTTTTTCTTGCTAGAACCACGAATATTCGATTCTGCTTACTTTAATTATGACCACAACTGGTCTTTATTAAGCTTCATTTTCTACCGCCAGCAACAGAGTGATTTTCAGCTCGATAAAAAAGAAGAACACGCCCGATATATTCGCAACCTCTCAAACGTATTGAAAGGAAAACAAGTAGACAAAGATGCAGTAAAGCTGGCTGGAGATGCACTTGCTACATTTGTGGTTAAGTAATTTCTTCTTTTGGTTTGGCAGTAGGTGGGTCTTAGGGATGATAGTCTTTTTGATGGGCGTTCAACGATCGGGAGGTGATGATCTACGGCTCGTGATGGTTCTGTCCTGACTCTAGACTCAAAAGGTATTGCCTTCTTTTAGCTGTTACTAATATCACATCTTTTAATAGAACGAAAAGAAATCAGAGCTAGTCAAAGATTTTTGGAAAAATGCCATGTCATCGCAAAAACGGAAAGTTACGGCGATAAGTGAACACACGGTCTTGATGGTATGGAATGAAGCATTTGATGCATATATGCCAAAGACTTTTAGCTTGATAGAAATGCTTAACATGTTTACCTCTCTTGTTGTTGCAGGAAGAACATACCACCAATGTTGTATCCTCGGTTTTCCAACAGGATCAGATTGTAAGAGGGGAATATGCGAGATGTCTAGGAGACACACACGTTCTAGGAGATAATAGCAATCGCTCTGAGAAAAGACAAAGGCATGTGAGTATCTTCATCTGAAAATTCGTAGTTCGGCCTTTCCTACAAACGAAACTAAGCCTTTTGGATGGATGTATAGGAAACTACTAGCGGAGATGGCAAGAGACGAACTCCAGAACGACAAGTAGTTGATATAAAAGCAATGGTGAAGGTCTTGATGATGACAGACAGGAATTACGAAAAATTTTATCTAGAAGTTGAGAATTCGTGTAACTAATTATTTTTCATTTTAATCCTTTAGGACGATGAGAAGCAAAAACAAACAAAGCGAGTACGTTTTGAGGAAAAGTCGAGAAAAAGGGTCGGTATACTGTATAATTCAAATTTTGTCCGCAAAAAACATCTTTACAGAAGGTAATCAAGTTAATTTTTTTAGGGGAATACATTGCCTAATGGGACGAAAACTAAAAAGCCAGCTCCTATGAGCCTTATACCATCGGATGAAGATTCCTCTGACGATGACGATTCCTCCCAAGTAGATGACTACTCCTCTCAAGTAGATGATGATTTAGATTACTACGATCATGATAATAGCGGGGGTCGTAAATGTGATGTGCGTTTTTTATCAATGTCGGGAGTTGATGTTGGGGAGTGGGAATTTTCTGCAAAAGCTACAGCATCTAGGGCCATCGGTGACCGATGCCGTTCCGCTCGAATAAATCAATCGATCTTAAACGGATTATTGGAATACAAACTTAGTGATGAACAGGTTAAAAACATCCGGGTGCCTTTTATACAATTCGCCGGTACAAGTGGACAAATGCTGATCGAAGATTTGGTAGAAGATTTTTATCTTGTTTTTCCTGGACCTAAGTTCGAGCTTCCTACAAAACTTCAGAATATTGGAAAATTG